AAATTAAAAATTAATTTTTATTTTTTAATATAAATTTATAATAAAAAATATATTTAATATACATTTAATCTCTGTCCTTAAAAGACAGGTTAAACAAACCTTATGTCTGTTAGCAATTTAAGAGATTATGTGGTGGTTGGGCACATTAGTGTACTTTTTGTGATATAAGCCTTAATCCTACTTAATGTATATCATTTATTACATCAATTTTACATCTAATTTCATGATTTACTAATCTTCTAAGAATTTTTTAGCATAATTTTCAATATTATTATTGAAGTGGGTAACTCTTTATTCATGATTAAAGAATAAATAACTAAATATCATTTTAAGTTGTGCAGAGAAAAACTACCATTTTTTATTTTTTCTATACAGTTATGTAGGTTTTTTGTTTCTTTACTCATGTTACAAATATAAAATCAATGCAATTCTGCCTCTAAAAAATCTAATAGACCTTTGAAGTATATTTTGTTTCAATAACATTTGAAGGTTGATCTGAGTTCTTTAGGAGAAAGATCACATAAATTCACTTTCTGAGTTGATCATGTTGGCATTTCTTCTCAAATTTGATGGAAAAGCTATTGGTTTTTGAAGTGAAAGAATTTGCAAGTATTTTTGGAGGACAAGTTTCTTTCAACAGGCTAGGCATGGTGAGCACAGTTAATATTTGCTGTGAGTGAGCAGGCATGATGAGCATAGCTAATATTTTAACTTTTTCGCATTTGGCTTGCGCCCTTTTTTAATATTTATAATTAATTTTTTCCCTTAGGCATATGAAGTATGGCTGGGTGAAGGATATGGTACTTTCAAATATCAGGCTTATTTGGAAAAATTAGATTGTTACGAAGGAGATTTCATCTTCATGAATATGCATACCAAACACTTTTAAGAATATTTTAAAATTATCTTATTCAAAATCCTTTGGTTCAATGCTTTAGGAGGATGAGTATTTAAGGGACTAATATGATTTTTGGTTTCTATCTCATATGTGATGTTAGAATTTACATTTTGTATGCTATAATACTTCTAGTATTTTAACATGATAATCCAATCATGTATGGTTCTTGATTTATTTCTAAAAATTATAATTAATCTTAGTTTTGCACTCCAATTTCTTATTAATCAAAAGATTATTTCTTATCCATTTGGTAATAATATTCTCAAATAATTATTTATGATGGTAGAGGATATTACAATAGAAATTAAACTATAAAAGAGATTACCTAAAGTTTTTTTTTTACTCTTTTTAGGCTTTGTCAATTTCTCAATTACATTTTTATGAAAAAAAATCCTTGCAACTGAGGTCTAGCACTGAATGGTAAACTCATCACAATCATTTCAATTGCTTCCTCACTTCTACTTTGCAAATTAGTTTTACTTTTAGCTTTACATGTTACAATATAAAATTAATAAACCATATTCATTTGAAGAGTAAACTTGCAAAATTTAATTTTGTTATTTAATTTTCCTTGTTTAGATTATTAATGAATAGATCCTAAACTTTTTATTAATTTATTCTCTTTACCATCACTATTTTAATTCTCATAGCAATAAATATTAAAATTGACTTACAATAAATATGATACTTGTGCCAATCTTTAATATGAGTTGAAGAAATTTTAAAGTAAGGACCAATTTTTAGACAAAATAGCAGTCAATGAATGAAATAGTAGTAGAAATTTGATTTTATGTAATGCCTATATATCAAATTATCAATACATTGTAATCTTTATATTATTAATATATCCTTGGTGAGCTTTCATTAGAGAAAGTATATTAAAAATAATAATAAATTCTATTGTCACATGAATGGTAATTATCTTAAAAGTATAATAATTTAAGATTTATATTGATTGTTTATGATAAGTCAGATGCTTTAGTATATCATATCTTGGTAAATTTTATTTTAAATTGTTATTTTTTAATTAGTTTTAATTAAAAATTCTTCTCTTTTTATTTGTTTAAATAATTTTAAAATTACTTATTTTTTCTACTTAATTAATTATAATTTTTGTAGATTTGACACTTTTCTTATATATTACTTTATTGTTTTATTACTTAAGTGACTACTACACTTATTAGTAAATTTTAGCCCATTAATTTTTCTTGGGATAATATACCATGAATCTCATCTATTCATTTCTTGCAAAGTTCTAATGAAATTAAAAATTAATATAAAGCATTGATACATAAATCACTTCCTAATCACAATAGTAGTTCATATGTAAACATCATCCATCACCAACATGATATAGTTAATATTAGTTGAAACTTCAAAAGGGAAAAAAAAAAAAGAAGAAGCCACTTTACAATTTGAACACAAGGGCATTGACGAAGACTTGGATCATAATATCATAACCAAGACTCAATCAAGTCTTTAAAGAAATTGTTTTACAATTTAAACACGAAGACATTGATGAAGACTTGGATCATAATACTATGACCAAGAGTCAATCAAGTTTTTCATTAGTATAGAGTCTTTAAAAATATTAATTCTCACCATTCAATTAATTCTTGAAAAAAAAATTAGAAGTTAATATTCTTAAATATAAAAAAATAAAAA